GATGCAAAATGTGTCACTTGACATCATGGAGGTCCTCCGGAGTGTCTCTTCCCCTGGTCCAAAGTTTGACCGTGGAGGGGGGTAGCAAGAAACGCAAACTGTCAGGCAAACAAGAATGCATAAAAGAGCCACTGCAGGGCGGATGTTGTTTTGTTGCTTCCATGAAGCTGAGGCGCGCTCTTTTGTTAGATAATTATTGATAGTTATGCAACATGTAGCATTGCAACCAAAAGCTACTGTATTAGGTCTGGAGTCAAGCCCAAGGTGCCAACAACCAAAGGTTCATGGACAAGATGGAGGAGTTCTTGCCTTCGGCCCGGCAGCTCATCCAGGAGCCGCAGCAACCATGAGACGGAACATGTCGTCGAAAGCACATGCATGCCACGTTCTTGCCAATAGTGAGGTTTCCGTTACATTTAAAATGTGGTTTCAGGGTACATTATAGCATAGTTATTCGGTGTTTACGCGGGTATAGAGGACCATGCATTGATTTTGGGTTCTGGAGTAATGGAAGGAGCGGGAAGCCGCGATAGCTGCCGATCCGACGCTGGCTCCAGCTGTTCCGACCCGCTGAAATCCGGGACTCCAGGAACGCAGTGTGTCCGTTTCCTGGAAAGCCCGTTGTAGCAAGCCTCGCGATTTTACTCCTCTCCATTCTTGCTACAATATCCAAGGAGCTACGCAGGAGAGTTTGTTTTAGAATAGCGATGACAGCATTTTGAAGCCTGACCCCTCTCACAAAATGTGCTCTAACGGTTCTTGTGAAGAGCAACTTTGCGAGTTTATGATCGCTCTACCTTCTCTGTGAAGTTCAGTGCGGCCGAACTCACATCAGCAGATCTAAACCTAAGCCCATTGGGCGTATAGGGTTCGGAAAGTGTCAGCCCTCTGCAGCAGTCTGCATCTCACGCTTGCCCAGTCGGCTCGCGCTGTTCCGTTTCAGCAGATTGCCAAGAAGACCTTGAAAGGGAGCCCCAGAGCCCCGTGTTCCACGCCATGATCTCATTGCGCTGAGGCGTCACTGTATGAATGTATTCTCCTGGTTATCGCACCGGGCTTTCATTCAAGCTTCCCTCAGTGTATGCCTTCTGGCGTGCCGCTGGAAGAACAAAATGCGGACGGTGATGATTACTGAGAATGCTGGGCAGAAGTTTCGGGACAGGAAGCCCATGCAGAGCTGTTTTTTGTGTTTTGATGCTGCTTGAGGAATGGTTGCAGCCATCACAAGCAGGTGGCATAGTGCTGGTGTGAGCAGTTGGCTTGCTGATGTGGGACCTGTGCAGAACATGCGAGCAACGGGACATCAGCATCAGGCAAAACTACACATGATGACAAGTTTATAGTGAGCAGATTACAGAGCCTGCCCTGTCATTGCCCAACACTTGAACTGCCGGCAGCCATGGGTCAGGCAGAATGTCACATGTTCAGACAGCATGTGCTGACTGAAGCACACATCACTGGGTAGGGACGGAGCTGTTTGGCAAATTCCTTATTCCTTTTCGCCCATGCAGAGGCACTTTCGCTGCTGTTTGGGGAGGAAGCACCACCTGTGCAGGCCCAGTTTGCCAACCCTAGAGCCTTTGAGCCTGACATTTCTGGAGCTGTATCGTCGGGTCAATAGTATATCTATATGTGCATAGAACGTCCAAAGTTGGTGATCTAAACCTAGAAAGCCGCCAGGTCTGTCGTTGCAGGGTACTAATCAGCTTGATCCTTTCAACGCAGCACCCGTCTGCATGCATCTTGCGAAACACTAGTTGCGCAGTTGTTCCTTCACGCGAGGTTGTGCAGGTGCGAAGGGTCCGGAAACATGTTGCCTCCACCCAAGGCCTCATGCTGGCTGGAAAATGAGATCTTGGGGTCGCGCCAGTGCAAAGTGTTGAAAATGATTTTATGTTCCCTTTAACCGGAAGTTGGATTCATCCAAAGCTGGGGTGGGTGAGGACGTCGCAGAGTCGCCACACGCCCGCCTTTGGATTCTTTGACGGACTAACCCTAAAGCCTAAACCCTAAACTAAAGCCTAAGCCCGAAACGCTAAATCAGTTGTCTGTTTGTGGAGAGCAGGTCGACGGCCTGGCCGAGGATCCGGGGGGCGAGCTACCGGGCGTAGACATCGTGGGCAACAGCGGCTCAGCAGCCTCGAAAGGTAAACTTAAGTTAAGCATTCCGGACGGAATCTATATATATATATATACATATGGTGATATATATATATATGTATATATATATGTATATATACACACACCATATGTATGTATGTATGTATGTATGTATGTATGTATGTATGTAGGTATGTAAGTATGTAGATGGATAGATAGATAGCTAGATAGATAGATAGACAGATAGACAGATAGATAGATAGATAGATAGATAGATAGATACTGGTAGGTCGATGGATGGATGGATGGATGGATGGATGGATAGATAGATAGATAGATGTACAGTCTGTATGTGTGTAAATAAATGACAATGGGCGTCAACTTCGGATTGAATTCCCAGCTCAGCAGAAAGACTCCACGTCTGGGTTGAGGGAGTTAACGGTTTGTCATCGGATGTCGAGAGAAGCAGGAGGCTAAGGCTAAGGTCTGAAGATTCTGCTTCCAGGGTTTTGCAGTTCGGGGTTCCGCCTTGAACTGACGCCTGGAGGAAGAGGTCGTGGTTTTTGACGAATAGCCCATGTATTTACCCTTCTAGTCTTTAAGTATAATTACGGTATGATGTACCTCCCCTACCCCACGAACCTATCTCAGAACCTCATAAGGAATTGGCAATATTCGTCCCGTGCTCCGGTGAAACCAAACTCGAAGGCGAGTTGACCATTGCTCAGGCCCGAAATAAAGCCCTACACCCCAAGCAGTTGCGTGCACGCGGATGACAGGACGAGATGTGGCAGGGTTTGGTTTTGGCAAGCATACAGTGCAAAGCCACCTGAAGCTCGTCATGGTTGCAATACTGGCTTTGTGGTTGCTGATTGCTTCAACAGTTCGATGGCATCTCTCAGAAACATCAGTTTGAGGAATAGCATGTCGACCAATTTTCAATACAGCGATGAGAACCTTTTCACAAGATTCTAAACGTGCATGCGGACTTGGTTGTGATGGCACCGTCTGTTTGGAGGCACGCCTCATGCCGCCCGCTGGGTCCACTGTCTCCTGTTGCCCCGCTTGATGGGCGAAAACAATGTATTCTCCACGCTGTCCTCGCTTGCACCTCTTGCCTCTGAAAACAAGCGAAGTGCTCCTCCGCTTGCCTCTTTCCTCACTTGTCCGATGGGCTAGGAATTCAGGAGCTTGCGAGGTTGGCGGGCGAATAGGGTAAGTGGGAGAAGTGAGTGATCCGCAAGATGACAAGTGGGGCAAGCGTCCCTGACCATCCTCTGCTGAATCATCGATGCCAAGTAGTACGCATTCTTGACATTGACATTGATACGGCACTTCAACTCCCAGCATCAGTGTCGTTACAATCGCCACGGCTAACACAAACTAAGACCTGCCATTCAGTTTCAGCTCTTGCCAGCTAATTAAGCTGCACTAAACCCGAAACCCCAAACTCACTAGACCCTAAACCCTAAACTCACTGAACCCTAACCCCAAACCCCAAACTCACTGAACCCTAAACCAGAAACCCCAAACTCACTAAACCCGAGACCCTAAACTCACTCGAAGCCCTAAAGCCTGGGCCTTCTCCCGAGGATGCTCCTGCACGTACCCGCCCGTGTTCAAGAGCACCTTGCATCAAGGGGACAAGGCACTGCACATGGTTTAGGGGCTTAGGGCTTAGGACTTATATAGGGTTTAGGGGTTTAGTTAGGGTTTAGGATTTAGGGACATGGTGGATGCTTGAGGTGTGAGCTGCCCGGCATGTGTAAAGGTCGCTGGTATTTTCTAGCTCCTATTCAGGATTGATTAGGACTCGACTGTAGCACAACTCCTGAAGTGTAATCTTTCACAGCCTAAGAAACAGTTGACAAGACAGCACAAGACAACAAGGGCTGATTCACATTTATCCAGTCGGGATTTGGGACTTGGAGGGTCTGGTGCCGCATGGTTTAGGAGCAGTCCTCGAGATGATTTCCTCTCATTACGGAAGCGCGCTAGCAGGGCTTCCGAAGGTTTTTTTGTTCCATGTGCAGCGGCATTGCTGCAGTAGCCATAGGTTGCTTCACGGGTGGTTCGTGTCTGGATATGGCTCTGTGCCTGCTTGATTTGCAGCGTGAGCGAAGCTCCTGGGTGATGTTGTGGGGCCAAACTCAAGGTTGCATTTGCATCGACAGATTCTCATACACGCATGCTGGAACATTTTTCGGTTCCGATCAGCTTGTCATGCATGTTTGTCACGGGCAGGACTTCTGGAACAATCTGGATGAGTACTCGGCCCAGACGCTGCTAGCAAAGAAACCAGATGGGGAGGCGGAATTCGCAGAGGGCATGCGACGCTTCGAGATTGCAAGGGATCAGATGTCTGCCGCACTCCACACCATGCAGGACAAGTACACGGATCTGGCGATAGCCAGACGAAACCTGGAACAAACTCAGCAGGGCGCCGCATGGGAGCACTTCAGCAAGTGCCGACCCCTCAGCAAGAAGTACGGCCTCTACTTGCCCTGCCACGAAAACTTCAAAGCTGCCATGCAAAGATACCGTGGACTGCTACAGAAACCAGGATGCCCTGTTGGTGCCTCGCTTCCACTGCGGCCTGCTTCCATGGGCCCGGATGGCCTGGAGCCTTTGGTGATGCTGACGGCACCTCACAGCTCCCAAAGCCCAGTCCCAAAGGCTTCGAAAGGAGCCGACTTTCTCTGACGCAGCCAGCATAGAACCAAAAGAGCTGCTGTGCGCGCAGATTATATAAGATGCCAGGAATTCCCAAAGTCCGTGCCTTGCTTGTATTCCGGAAGCTCGAAGGCTTCCTCGCTTGCACGGCTTACGTGACGTCCTCATAGTCGGCCCAACTATGGCTAGAACCCTGCCATGGAGCCCACTCAGTCTTCTTAGATCCCAACTTCTGGCTGACTTTGGCTCCAAGCTGCAGGAAGGCCACAGGCTTGAGGAAGAAACGATCTGCCAGCTTCTCTCTACGGCAAGAATTTGTTCAGTCAGCTTTGAGCCCTGCTTTTGCTTTTGACATCTCGGCGCCACCCGCCATGACTTCGACATCCAGATGGTCGCTGCAGGGCTTCAAGGCTGTGGTCACAGGCCGCAGGCTCCTTCAATTTTGCCGTCCTTTGCTGGATACTACGAGTAGGCTACATATCACTTTATAATATTATTTTATATGTACTACTGTTTGCTATTGTTGAAGCTGTGACTGTTATTGTTGTTAATTGTCACTTTGGCTGCTGGTATTGTTACGGCTACTGTTACTTGCTGTAGTTATACCATGTTTTTCACGGTTAGTATTACTTGTATTTGCTTAACCGTTTTGCTTTCAAAACTGGCGCTCAAAAATAGGCATCATGATGAGCCTTCATATGTTTACGATTTCCTACTAGTACCGCTGCAAAACCAAAGGTGTAGTGAGACGACTAGATGCCAAGTCCTCAAGGCTACACCTTCAACCCTGAAACTTAATCCCTGTTCCCTAAACTCTGCACCCTAAACCCTAAAGCTTAAACCCTAAACCTTAAGCCTCAAACCTTAAACACTAAACCCTAGACCTCAAGCCCTAAACCCTAAACTTTAAAGCCTATACACCCCTAAAAGCCGACCTGCAGGTTCGACTCAGGGCCTGGGCCTGGCCGTTGCCAAGGAGATGCTGCAGCTCGGGGCAGAGGTCGTTGTTTGGCTGGGAAGAAGGGATGCCCGTTATCCTTTAAAGGGGGTTCCATGAAGGGCCACTATAAGGGTTCCTTTGAAGGAATTTATAAGGGCCACTGTAAGGGTTACTTTAATGGGTACGAAAAGGGAATTGTATGGAAGCCTGAATCATTTGAAGGAATTTCAACTGTCTCCGAACACTAAACTAGTCTAGAGGAGGGCCTTGCTTAGGTCGATGCTATGAAGTATTGTAAAACGATAGGGTAAACCCAAAAACGATACCCCCAGCTTAAGGACCCATAGCTCAAGACTAT